TTTTCGGAAATAATAATTTTAGATAAACATATCGAAACAAACACGCATGCGCTAAACTTATGACAAACTTTCCGAGTCTGCGTTTTTCAAACCACCCTCAGTGCATCTTATTTACCGCTAACCTAAATGAAGCACGAGGTTAAAACACTGATCTCAAAATAATAACTGGATAGGGTATTCTATTGTTTTTCGTAAAAAAAGTTGAAGCCAAAAGTTGGTCTACCAAGATGACTTCGGTTAGAACTGTTAGCGGTTTGAATCGTATAAAAGTTCTGACCGAATAAGAAAAGTAAACTATTTTTAAGGAAAATAAGATGGCGAAATAAATTTATTTAATTCATAATTATTAAAATATTCAGCTAGTATACACTTTTTAAATGAGGTTTATAATTTATGTACCTTTTAGTTCTTAATTACCCAATGCTGTGTGCTAGAAAGTTAATAAAACAACTGTATGGTAAGCAGCAACGTTGTCTACGTACAATCTTTAAAGAATTTTAAAATCATGAGTTTTGTAGGTAAAAACATTATTGTACAAACGCTGTATGAACTATTAGCTGAGAACTGTGAGTACACACAACTCAGAGGTTCCTTCTAGGATTATAAAAGTCATTTTATTATTTAATGCATTCACTTTCTGGACTCAATAATCAGTGAAAATATAAAACAATACTTATATTCCAAAGTAAAAAATAATCTCTCAATGACTTAGATTTAAAGTCATAGTCAAACTCAACTGTGAATAATTATTCCTCAAAGTTTGAAGGATAATTATTGACAGTTTAGCACATACATAGTATGTAAAGACGTAACATATGTATGTTACATTTTATTAAGAATAAATTCTCTAGAGGTTTAGTTAAACCAAGCAAAAGTGTTGTTTTGGTATGCGAAGGGACAGAAAGATGTTTCCAAAGGTTTCTTACATCAACAAATATTACCCTGCCTAATGATATAGGAATTAAAAATGCAAATGCAAGTGTTGTTTTGAGATCAGTTGATTTATCAAAAGTATTCACAGAACAAACTCATCATATGCTTGATTCGTCTTTAACTAATAAGCATTTATTTTCACTGATTAAAGTTATTTCAAAAAGTGATCTTGTGAAAGTTTTAACTATAAAAAACATATTTGTTTAAATGCAAAAGTTTTGTTTTTAAAATGTTATGTAAAAATATTTAATTTTTTTTCAAATTAATAACAAGAAAAATCCGGAAAATTCTGGAAAATTAAAGTAGTTTTGAATGAATTTCCGGAAATCCGGGAATTTCCGGAAAAAACTCATCTATGCTTATTATAATTACGCGCGCAAATGACAGTTTCTACAGTTTTTAATTTTGCACTTACCACATCTGTGCACTATGCCATCGATATATACACAGTAAACTCCTGATAACTCAAACCTTTAAAAAATTGACCTTCCAGTATTTGCTCGGACACTTGAAGGTTACGACTTATCAGTTTGTATGTATATTATATATATATATATGCATATATATAATATACATACAAACATTTATATATATATATATATATATATATATATATATATATATATATATATATATATATATATATATATATATATATATATATATATATATATATATATAGTAGAAAATAAAACGAATTTCATGCAAATTTCACAACATTAAGTTTCATGCTGATGCAATCATCAGGTGAAATAAAAATGAAAAGTATTTCAACTGATGATTGCAACACATAGTTTTATTTCTTCTATATTATAGCTCTGTTTTTATATTATAGCTCTGTTCATTAAACACCTTGATGGTATATGCACAAAGCATACATATATATATATATATATATATATATATATATATATATATATATATATATATATATATATATATATATATATATATATATATATAAATATATATATATATATATATATATATATATATATATATATATATATATATATATATATATATACATATATATATATAAATATATATATATATAAATACATATATATACACACACTTACTTAAATGTACTAGGTGAGTATATTTATGTGTGTGTATAGTTAGTATATTTGACTGATTCAGACTGATTCATATTAAACAGATACTAAGCTGCCTATCATGCAGTTGTGTTATTAACCTTCTAGCACACAGCATAAGATAATTAAGAACTAAAAGGTACATAAATTGGTTATTAAATTTTTTTGAAGGATTTTATTTATCTTATAATAAAATAAATTTATACATATTTATAATATATATATATATATATATATATATATATATATATATATATATATATATATATATATATATATTGCATAATATAAATATTATTTTTCCTAATATATATATTATATATATATTAGGATAAATAATATTTAAATTAAGCAATGTATATATATATTTTATGAATATGTAAAAATATATTATATATATATATATATATATATATACATATATATATATATATATATATATATATATATATATATATATATATATATATATATATATATATATATATATATATATATATATATATATATATATATATATATATATATATATATATGCCTACTTTTATTTTTAAAAATTGTTTTTTTTAGAAAAAAAAAAAACTTGTGTTTTAAATTATATCTTTATCGATTACGCTTAAGGTTTTTAGATTTTTTAAACGGTACTTCCATAACCGTTGGCAAACTACGCCGCCATCTTGGTAGGCCAAAACTGGCTTCAAAAATTTTCACGAATGCACTATCCAGTTATTATTTTGAGATCAGTGGGTTAAAACCTTTTCTTGCAAAGTATAGCCAAAAATAGAGTTTGAAAGTTGGCAAACTATACTTTAAAAACTGCAGTGGTAACATTTTTAAACATTCATTTTAGCAGTGGATAAAAAAGATCAGAGAAAACTTTTTGATTTTGAAAATGCCGTTGCTAGGGGCGTAACTACGGAAAACATTTTCAGTATTTTGTTTAAAATTAAAAATACCAACTTGTGCTCTGAATTTAGTTAAAGTTGTTAAAAAATCTTAAACTAGTATAAATTTTGCATAAAATTGTGTAAAAAAAAAAAAAAAAAAATTGAAATTTTCTATTTTTAATGGTATAGGACCACCTTAAAACTTTTAATGATAAGTTTTGTTAATAACGAATCATTATATTCCACAAACTCGTTCTAATATTTTTTCATATAATTAATACTACTTTTTTGAGTTAATTTAAAGTGTTTATATTACCAAGTGGTCTGGGTAATATAAGCACTTATGCTAGTTTTTTAAAATCCCTGTGAATAAAACCTCTGTGAAACAATTTCGGGTGCCTAAATACCTATGTAGATCATGAGTAGTGATCCCTAAAAATGATTTATTTGCAAAAATTTTGAATCCATCGTAATTATTTTTGAAATATTTCATTTTTCGCTCAAGGTGTTCACATTACCATAATCAAACCTTAAAGTCCCTTTCTTTAATAGCAGCTTTGATCTAATTATTAAACCACATAGCTTTATTCTTACGCTGTGGATAGTTTTTGAGAGGCAAAATCATCGGGTTGTGGTTAATATTATTTAAAACAGTCAAAGCTGCTCGATAATGCACTGTAGTTATGTCAATATTCAGAAAAGATCTCTTTTAAACTGGTTGAAGAATACAAGGAATGCTCCTAGGAAGATGAATCATTAAAGGAATAACCAGAAAATAATTGCTGGTTGCATTTATTAACGCAGAGTATTTACCCGCTTTAAGTCTTTTACCAATAATGAAATCAGGACAAGTAGAAGAGTGGGGCGAAACTCTGGTTACGAAGATATCAATAACTCTTGTGCCAGCTAAGACTAAACAATTTAACAAAGATTTACCTGGGTAATGATTGGGTTTGATTATGTCGGAGTTCAAATCATCCATAATTATTAGTTGGTATTTCTTAGATAGTGCTTTAGAAATAACTTCGTTAAATAAGTCAAACCAATTAAAGCTTAGCATTAAGAGAACGATAAGTAACAAGGATTAATATGTGAGATTTTAGAATTTTAGAATCCAGCTTGGAATTAGTTATTTCTAGTCCTTTTTTGTTCATTTTCTCTTGCCACTTTAATTGAATTTTAGGATTAAGTTTTTTTTAATATAGGTTAAAACTCCCGCGCAATGTAAGAAGCTCGAAGCGAACTTACTCCAACGTCGGACATCTACTCCGAAATAAAATGTCCCATAATAAAATGTTCTATGTGATAGGCTATCGGACAGTTTACTCCGATGGACAATTTTCTCCGCGACATTTCGTTAAAATAATTTGCTTCAACTCGTATCATTAAAACTTAAAGAGTTTGATATAAGCAATCAAAATATTAAGCTGACCACATCATAAAGTTTGGCGGATCACGTTGTTTCTTGGTAGAACAATTAGTAAAACTTAAAGAGTTTGATATAAGCAATCAAAATATTAGGCGGATTACTATATAAAGTTTGGCGGATCACTTGATATAAATTGGCGGATCACGTTGTTTTTTGTAAAAATGATTTTAAAACTATATAATATTTTTCGTCGTTTGTTAAAATTATTATTTGCAAATACCATTTAAATATTATTTCTTTGATGAACTTAAACTATATCTGAATCTATAAAAAATAATTATCAAATAAAAAAAATAATTTTTTTTTTTTTTATTTTATTTAATGAAGTATGACTTGCATTACAAAATGTTAGCAACGTTTAAATTATCCGCCCCGCCGTTTGTACCGTTAAAATAATCTGCCCCGCTGATCCGCCCCTCCCCGCCGATTGTACCTACCCTATTCAAGAATCGCTAATTTTGACCAAATTTTGAGCGTTGTAATACTTGATTACCTGAAAAATTTATAATCAGGGAACGTTTATTTGTAAACTTTAGTTTATGAACTATAATTAAACTGCTTATTATATTATTTTTAAATATTTACTTTCAATCTTTCAAAAAAACGCATTTCCATTCATTCAAAATCTATATAAATGTGATTAAAAGCGATTATAGAAAATAGTGATTTGTATAACTTAAAACTTGAACGTTTCTTTTTCTTCTACTTAGAATGGATCTAAACTTAAACGTTTTAGAAGGTCTAAAATTAAGTGGCGATGGTTTATACTTGCAGGAAAACGACTTTCCTATTTTATGTCGTGCAATTTTTGAAGTATTATTAAAAGAAAAGAAAGCTGAAGACCTATTATGTAGGATTTTAAAATTTATTTAAAAATCTTGCATTTAACAAAATAGTGTTCCCTGATGTATGCTATAGGGTAAATAGCTATGGAGTTAATTTGAGCTCATGCAAGATTTTTTTTTATAAATTTTAAACAATATTTTATGTCATACCATATGACATAAAATATGAAGCAGCATATCATATAACGTATGGTATGCTGCGTTATATTTTTAAAAAAATTAGAATATTTTAATTAATACTTATAACTTATATTTCAGTAAAAAGAAAGCAGTTTTTATTTCATAGGTTACCTTAAAGATAAACATAAGTAAAATAAGATATACATAAATTGACTAACAGGTTTGAATGGTGTCTAGGTTGGGTAAAAATCTTTAAATAAAAAAAAGTTTAAATTTTAATAAAATCAGAGAGTTGGTCTTTATTACACTACAAAAATTATAAAATGGGAGAAATTTCATTCAAATGCTTTCTATTCTCTTCTGATAATTGGTAGTTATTTGGTATTTCATAATATTTGACGCCATTTCATGATGGCTCCAACATTTATTTGTATGTATGAAGTAAAAATAATCTGATATCAGAGTCTCATCAATAAGTTATATCAAATTTTTTCTATTTAATTTGAATGATATAACATTGTAGATAATTTCAAGTTTTTTATCAATTGTAGCTTAAAAATCCAAGTTCCCTTTGCTAGATACAGTTGTAACTTGTAATGAAATTGTAAAAGTAACTATTATTGTTTTTCAAAATGTAAGGTTGAAAATACAAAGAAAATAAAATAAAATTTTATTTTCTTTGTATGTTCAACCTTGATTTCTGTAAATAAGATTGAAAACCAATAATGTTGCTTTTATAAAACCATAATTATCAATAGATTGTTTCAATATATTTTCTTGATATAAATGTGGTCTTTGAAGTAACTTTTCATTTGTAGAGTCTTTTTTCATGCAAAGTTTACTAAAATTACTTGCTCTTTGTAAGACTAATTTAAATTTAGCTGTTTCATCTTTAAATCTGATGGTTATAAATCAACGGTTTTGATCCCTTAATTTTCAAAAACTCTAATAGAATTAGTTTTTGAGTTTGATGGTAATGAACATGTAGCAAAAATGGCGTTATTTAAATAATATTTACAAGAATCTTTTAAAGTTTATACTGGGATGTTTCACAACTGATAAATTAAAAAAAGCTTTGAGCAAGCTTTGCCAGTCTGCTCAGTCCATCATAGAAAAAGTTAGAATCCAATATGCAAGACTTTTCCTATTGTTAGAAATGGATACTTTTGATAATTATACCAATGGTCATTCCTCTAATAATTGTTTCTAAATTTTAAATGAGCAGAAGTGTGATATTTTTGATAACTTGCTAGAATTCAAGGATAGAGTTCGAGTAGGATCCATACTTTCAAGTTTATATATTACTGGTTTTGTTCAAATAAATCATGCTATGATTATACTGATACACAATTTAGTGTTAATGACCAACATTGCTATACTTTACCAAATATACTTAATAAAAAAATTTACTTATAAAAAAATCTAGCAATAATAAAATTTCCAAGATAATCCAAGGAGTCTAACCAAAAAGTTTTTAAACTAAAAATGGAGACTGATTGTCCCGACAAGCAGTCTTTGTTTAAATTTGATTATGTAATGTAGAAGTTTATTATTCTTTATTGCATATTGCTTTATTAAATTGTTACTTTCAAGACAATTCCTATATATCATTATTATTATGCTTTCTTTGCTCTAACTGTCAACATTCACTTTGTTTATAAGCACTTCATATGCCTGATCCTAGCTTGTGCCTAATTTTTCTTTGTTTTCCTTTGTTTCAAATATGTTTTAAGTCAAGCTATTCTCATTAAAACTTTTATCTTGTATTTTTTTTTAATTAGATCTATCATCATTTTTTTATTAGATCTATCATTGTATTTTTACTACTATCTTGATACTGACTCGGGTTCTACTTGTGATGGTCCATTGGCTAATATCATTTATCTCTCTGCTTAAAATTCCATATTAAAAAAAAAAAGCTTTTATTTCTTGTTGTTTTCAAGTCAAGCTTGAAACTTATATCATTGTAATAATACCCGAAAAACTTTTTATTAACCACCCATTTGGCCAAAATTTATCTAGTCTTATTACAGTATTTATTTTGTCTTATTCCAGTATTTTTAATATATTATTTATTGGCTGGTTTGCATATTACTACTATTATTAAGGAATTTTTGAGCTATATTATCTTATATTCATCGCTCAGCTTTGTTTTAATTTTCATATGCGTGGTTTTCATATTTTATTATTTTTCAGAAAGTTTCTTATATTCTTTTCCACATGTTATAAATCTTTACATTTTTGCAGGCAATAATTTTTTCTACTATCATATATTACTTGGTTTTTAGTGATGATTTTAAGTTGCATGGGTTGTTCATTTTCTTGCATTTTAGATTAGTTACCAAAATTTGTATGAAGTCTCTATGACAGTGTTAGAGTTTTTTTGAAGACTCTATTGTGTTTTTATTTTAACAAATGATAATAACTCTACTTTGCAGTTTTCTTCTTTTTGTACAGCTGCAATTTCTAATTCTAATCAATTAGAAATTGCAGCTTCTATATCTAAAACATTTGATAAGGTTGCATTGCTTATTTCTGGGAAGAATGTTAAAATAAAGACAGTTACCATAAGCTTGGTTCTTAGGCAATTGCAAGGAAAGATAACACCCAGGCTAAATGCAAACTTCGCACTTTGATGCTTTGAAGTTCTTAAAACTTTTCTACTTTTACTACTACTAAGTTCTTAAAAAACTCTCTACTTTGCTACTAAGTTCTTAAAAAACTCTCTACTTTGCTACTAAGTTCTTAAAAAACTCTCTACTTTGCTACTAAGTTCTTAAAAAACTCTCTACTTTGCTACTAAGTTCTTAAAAAACTCTCTACTTTGCTACTAAGTTCTTAAAAAACTCTCTACTTTGCTACTAAGTTCTTAAAAAACTCTCTACTTTGCTACTAAGTTCTTAAAAAACTCTCTACTTTGCTACTAAGCTCTTAAAAAACTCTCTACTTTGCTACTAAGTTCTTAAAAAACTCTCTACTTTGCTACTAAGTTCTTAAAAGACTCTCTACTTTGCTACTAAGTTCTTAAAAGACTCTCTACTTTGCTACTAAGTTCTTAAAAGACTCTCTACTTTGCTACTAAGTTCTTAAAAGACTCTCTACTTTGCTACTAAGTTCTTAAAAGACTCTCTACTTTGCTACTAAGTTCTTAAAAAACTCTCTACTTTGCTACTAAGTTCTTAAAAAACTCTCTACAATATCTTTCAAACATATGTTTTAAGAACTTAAGAATAGTTAAAGTGATGTAATGGGTTCCTTTTTTAAGGGGCATTAATGTTTTGGTAAGTTATTTAAATGAAAGGACAAGAGATCTCAATATTAGCATAGGTCTTTATGTCTTAAGGTTCCAGTCTCAGCTTAAAGTTTCACAGATAGATTCAAAACAAATGTAAAAAGTATAATTTATCTAAACTTTTAAGCATAAGATAATGTTCTCTACACATAATTTGTAGTTATTTTAGAAGCTTTCAAAACAGGAGTTAAATCAACTCATTAGTTAAAAAGCTGCTTTATTTTTCTGTTAACGTTTCTGGAAAAATCTCAAAAAGTTAGAAAAAGTTAATTTGTCAGTATAACTAAGAGTTTTGTATTCCCGCTTTCATTTTGCACAACCAATTGGATTGAAGACAAAAGGGTGGTATAAATATTAAATAGTATTTAGCAATCAATTGTAAAAATTATTAATGATTGAAAGACCCTGTCTTAAAGGTAATGTCTTTCCTGCAAATCTTATAAGTTTGTTGTTAGTGCTGCTAAAAATGAACTTTTCCTTGCTAGTTTTTAGTTCTTTAGCTAGCTGGCATGTTTCAACTGTTTCTAAAGGTCTATCAGATGTTCCAACAGTATTTTACAATGAATGGCAAATTAATTAGTTTTTTTATTAATTAGTTGATTAAGACTATTCTCAAGATGTTCATTAAGTCTGAAGCTATTGAAGATTGTTCTAAACTTACCATATATGGTTAATCAAACTTACCATATATGATTAACAAAATATAGAGAAATGCTTAAGCCTTGGTGAAATTGGGTTTGGTAATGACTTAATGATTATGACAAAGGAAAGATACAGTTATTTTAGATGATGTTAAAAAACTAAAATTCAATGTATAAACATATTGATATCAGCTGTTTTTTACTTCAATATCAATCAATATTAATTTTTAGTTTATATTTTTTGTTTGGATTATATATTTCCTAATATCTTGTAAAGATATCAGAAAACAAATATGAACCAAACAAAAAAATTTTATATTCTGTAAATCATATTTGGTAAGTTTAAAACAATCTTCAATAGCTTAATGAACATCTTAAGAATAGTTTTTACCAACATTGCCATTCATTGTAAAATAACGTTGGAATATCTGATAAACATTTAAAAACAGTAAAAGAATCAGTAAATGTGAATATAGCTGCATGTGAAACTTTGCTGATGACATGTTACTAAAAACCATATTCAAGAGTTTTTTTTTTGCATACATTGACTGAGGGTTAGGGCTAATTTTGACAGTATCTTTGTTAGTAAATGATCGGGGCTGGTATTCAACTGTGGTCAAGGCCGGTTCTGCAGATATGACTGCATAAATATTGGTGCATATTGACTTGTTTTTATATATCATATCAATATGCACTAATAATTATACAGCACCAGCCATAAACTTGGCTTGACTCAGGTCAAATACCAGCCCCGGTTGTTTAATAATCTTTGTCTTAAGCTAACAAAAATACAATTAATATATGCTAACAAAAAAGTGTTAAAATTCATAACTTCTACTAACATACCAAATCAGTTTTTTTTTTATACCAACATCAGCTACAATAAAGTATTTATTTAGACTTTTAAGATTTCTAGATTGTTTATTGTCTTGTGTAAAAAGAAGTTTAAAAAGTCTTTCATTGCATTATAGCTACTCTTCATTCTGATGGTTCTGTTATTAAGCAATCATTTTATGGCCTATGCACTTTAGTTGTAGAATCTTGCAGGAATGCTGTTGAACAGAGCAGTGTCAGGTATTTGTTATTTAAGTTATGTTATGTTTTAATTTATCTGGGTTATCCCCCTCTGTTGATCATAGCAATTATCAACACTATTTTTACAAATTGTAATCTATACAATTTTTTTAACAAAATTTTTGGTACAAAATATATGGTTAGAAGGAAAGCAAAAGGTTGTATGTATTGATGAAATGGTAAAGATTTTTACAAGAAAAGTTTCAAGTCATGTCAATGTTCTCTTTAAAAAAAAGTTTGATGTAACACATCAAAAAGAAAGCTAAGAAAAGTGTTATGTAACACATCAAAAAACTTTAATGATAGGCTTGATAGAAAAGAAAAACTGTGTTCCAGTAAAATGACTATTGTTTAACTTCTCACACTTTGACCCCCAAGTGGGTTAATAATAGAAGTACAAAATAACTTTGCAGATACAGAATTATGTGATGAATACTAACTGTTTTCCGAAAAAATGATTTTTAATTATTTCTGCATTGTATGAAGTTAAAGTTTCAGCTGAGTCTTTAAAAGTATTAAACAAAAATGACTTGAGTCATTTTTGTTTAATACTTTTAGATTTTTGTTTAATACTTTATTCATATTTTTAATTAAAAATGTTTCTTAGCAATAACCAATGCAGTTGCTTCTCATTCTTGCTAATCAAATCAAAGTTGTAGCAATAGGTTTTTTTGTGGTCTTGACCATGGACACCAAATGCACTAACTGGGACACCATCCAGGCACTGCTAATATTCTGATATTTTACAGAGTTTAGGAAACTGTACTGCTAACTGGCCTTAAAACCAGAAATTTTCTACTTGCTCTGAAAGTCTTTGCCTAGGAGGCCTACTACAGGTCTGTCTTTTTTTCAGTGTTTTTATTGAGGTACTATGTCTTACGCTTTTATTCAACCATTAGACCCAAGGTCTTTTAGAGGTATTTTAAGTTAAAATTAACTTTTCCTAGCCTTTGTCAAGAAAAGCAAATCTTACAAGACAGCAGGACACGAGACAAGTTGCACTAGATTATATGTTACCAGTAGCAGGGTGACCATGATGATCCTAATCCTAAACTGACCTTATGATTACATAGATGATTACTAAACTTATTTAATTTTGATACAAATTACTGAAAATACCTACAACATATTACTGAAACAACTACATCATATTACTGTAAACTACAACATATTACTGTAAAAAAATATTGGAACATATTACTAAAATAAATTACTAAAAAATATTACTGGAGCATATCACAAACTATTATTTTTAGAATAATTTATTGGTTGCAAATTAATTTCTTCAAAGCTTTTTATTTTTAGCTCAATATTAGAAGATTGTAACTGGTCATCTGAACGAATATCAATTTTTTCAGAACAACTTAAGGTAACTTGAAATTTTGTTGTTTTATTTTGAGAAAAATGCAAACATTGAATTTAGTAATTAGGTTTCAGGTTGCAAAAAATGTTGAAGGTTTTGGGAAGAGATAATAAAGGCTAAGAAGGAATTGGTAAAACCTTAGGAGGGGTTTAGGAGTAGGGCATACAATACCTGTATCTCCGTATACTGGTTGTTATTCCAATACCAATGCTGAGCTCTCAATACTGGTATATACTGGTATTTCAGTTATTTTTCTCATCGGGAAGAAATTGTTCAGTGAGACTTCATGCATTTTTTGACACAGAGATTTTTAGAGTTATAAGTGCAAATACATATATATTTAGAGAGTTATAAGTGAAGAAAACTTTGGTTATAAAAATGAGTAAAAAAAAAGACTTTCTAAGGTGTGGAAAGCTTTTTTTAATATTTAGTTACAAAAGTAATAAATGAGACATTTATATTTTGAAATATTAAACTCTTTTATTAATCAGTTAAAATATCTAAGCGAGAAAATATCATCGAAGAGAACTTAGATGATAAAATAAAAATAAATAATAAAAATAATAAAGATATATATTAAAAAAAAAGCCTTTTTTTAGATAAAAAGTTTTTTTTCAGTTACCTGTTTGTATTAAATAAATACAGGGGTGGGACCGCAAAATGTGAACACTTTTCTGATTGTAATAATTAATTTTCTGTTAAATATGAACTATTTTAAATGTTCAATTTTTGTTTTTTTACATATTATATTTTACTTTGTTTACATATTCATTAGGTCTTTGTCTTTCGTTTTTTATCAAATAAACTCAACTACATCTAACGAGAAAATAGTTATAATAAAACAAAAACGTTCACATTTTGCGGTCCCACCCCTGTATGTTAAATATATGTCTCTGTATATATTATAGACGAGTTTTTTCCGGAAATTCCTGGAATTCTGGAAATTCACTTTAAACACCTTTAATTTTTCCAGAAATTTCCGGATGTTTTTTGATATTAATTTGAAAAAAAATTAATATATTTTCACATAAAAATTTACATACAACAACTTTTGCATTTAAACAAATATGTTTTCTATAATTAAAATTTTCACGAGATCAATTTTCGTAATAATTTTTTTTCTTTTTTTTTTTTTTTTGCTTTTTTATTCATTCAAACTTTTTCGAATATTGGAAATATTCGAAAAAGTTTGAATGAATATATATATGTATATATATATTCATATAAATATATATATATATATATATATATATATATATATATATATATATATATATATGTATATATAGATATATATATATATATATATATATATATATATATATATATATATATACATATATATATATATATATATATATATATATATATATATATATATATATATATATATGTATATATATATATATATATATATATATATATATATATATATATATATATATATATATATATATATATATATATATATGTATAGGCATATATTTTACATATATTTAACATATATTTTAAATAACATATATTTTAAATATATGTATATTTAAAATATATGTTAAATATATTTGTCTATATATATATATATATATATATATATATATATATATATATATATATATATATATATATATATATATATATATATATATATATATATATATATATATATATATATATATATATATATATATATATATATATATATATATATATATTTAAAATATATGTTAAATATATTTGTCTATATATATATATATATATATATATATATATATATATATATATATATATATATATATATATATATATATATATATATATATATATATATTTAAAATATATGTTAAATATATTTGTCTATATATATATATATATATATTTAAAATATATGTTAAATATATTTGTCTATATATATATATATATATATATATATATATATATATATATATATATATATATATATATATATATATATATATATGTTAAATGTGTTATATTGCTTGTGGTAGTAGATTAATAGTAAAGTGTTTTCTCATAATTAAGATGTTCTAGGTTCAATTCCACCCTGTCATCTGGAAGTACCACGTAGAGTGCAGGCAGTGAGATCTGTTGCAAGGACACGCCCCTGACAAGTGGCGTTAGTGCAGGTCTCGGGCTCTCCGAAACGTCAAAATTAATAGTAATAAAAAAAATCTTATTAATATATAACACAAAAGGTGTATAAGGATCAAAAGAAAAATATTTGCTTAAAAAATAAGGGCTACACTGGAATGTAGATTATAATGCAGGATAAAGCTGCTTCACCATATGATTATGGAATATCAATTTGATAAAACACTGTGCTTTCCTGAGACTGCCAGAGTAAATTTTGGTTTACTCTAAATTTTTTTGTTTGTTTTTATTATTAAATAAAGTATTTTAAAATAATTTTTAAAACCTAAACTAACTTTTAAACATAGAAATTTTAGATTTAATAAATTAAAAATATATTCTCAATCCAATCAAAGTTAAATGATTGGGTTGAGAATATATTTACAAATACTAAGAAGATCATCTGATATTAGTGAAATACCTGAACAGATCACAACAAACAATCAAAATATCGTTGATAAAATTATTAAATAGATATGTCCTTGCTTTTCTACAATAGATATGACTTCCTTAAACAAATTTAAATATTGTACAACTTATATAATATTTTAGTTAATATTATTAACTAAAATATTATATAAGTTATACAATATTACTTCAATTATTATTGAAAAAAAAAACACAATTTAAATTTAGCATAGAGTTAGTCAATGCATAGTCTATGATAGACATTAAATATTAGTGTATTATCTTTATATGTTTTACAAATATAATAATATCTTTTTCCTACTTTAAATTTCTATTTAGGCCAAATAATTTCTCACTTTTGCTGTAAGAGTAAAGCTGAAAATAACCTAATTATGTTGGCTGAAGGCCTTGGAAATGTATCCAGCGAGCAAGTTGCTTCTGGGATTTTCAAAATAAAAATGAAAAGAGACAATGTTTAATCTGGGGACAAGTTTCATTTAAAAACCTTTGTAAACAACCTTCTTTTTGTTGTTGGCACACCTGATAATCTCTAGAATCTATAATGGAAATCTCTAATACTCTAAACCTGAGTAAAAGAAAGACTAAGCTACTTTGTAAACATATGCGGCAAAACTAAGGGAAGAAAATGTTAGAACCTAATATATCAACTCAAATAGAGGAGCTGCATAAAGTATTTTCAGATTTTTATGATGTCAAAACTGAATCATTTATTTCAGGGGATGAAGAGATAAGTCTCAGTTTGGTATTTGTAAAAGATACTTCTGATTTAATTCTTCATATAATTAATGAAAGAGGTTTGAATCCTTATTGCACTATTACTAGAATTTCCATTGATGTTGGACAGAGTTTTTAACCCTGCCCAACATTTATGTCCAACAATAGTTAATTTTAAAAAACTGCTTCACGAATTGTTTCGTGGTTCTTCAATCATGTTAAATTTTTAAAATACTATAGCATAAATACCAAAATTCAAAACAAAGCAGCTTGAGCAAAAAAGACTTGTAATTATTAGAAAAGTTGTCTTTACACACTTATAAAACTGTATAAAACATTATATAAGTAGATATTTTACATTTGCATATGGCATATTTGTTTATTGTTACATTTTGTTATATTAGATGCTGTACAATAAAGCTGCGCTTATTTAAAAAACCCACTTGTTACCATACCATGAAAACATGCTTGAAAAGTGTTGATTAATTGCAATTGGTATAAGACTTCATAATATGGTTTGCTTTTCAATTACTTGCATAAATTCGATAGATCAGTAGTTTCTCAAACTTCCAATAAATATAACCTCAATTTATGTTTCATTGCAACTTTTAAGGTTAAAACCTTTAACTTGATTCTTACTTTTTTTAAGATGTTTTTTTTTTTCAGGGATACACAGCAACGGGTAACAAAAGCCACGTCATAAAGGTGGCTTTTGTCATCGCATACTTTTTTGTTTGGTACTATAGTAAGTCAAAATTCCTTAAGGAATATATTTTTCTCTTTTTTAGGACTAAAAATCCCTCGAAAATAAAGAAGCTTGTACCTGGAAGTATAAGGATTACTCAGATGAAATGGTGAAAATAGCTGTTGAAGAAGTGAAGAAAGGATCATTTTAAAAAAGGATTGTTGAGAAATTTGGTATATCAAGATTTGCTCTCACTTCTGCCCTGAAAGATAAAGTTAACTGATTTGGTAAGCCTCCATTTCTTAATTCTGAGGAAGAAAAATATTAATTGAATGTAAAAGCATGGCTGGAGAGTGGGGATTCCCACTTATGAAACTAGACATAAGAATAATAGTCAAAGGTTACCTGGATCCTTGTGGTCAAAATGAAATCAGGTTCAAAAACAATATGCCTTGTGTTGTTTTTATTGACAATTTACTCAAAAGAAACAGTAAAGATCTTTCCAAACGGTTTGGCCAAACATTAAAAGAAGTCAGGGCGGAAATCAGTAAGGACATCTTGAACAACTATTTTAATGAACTCATAGAGGGATTAAAGGATGTTGACCCATCAATGTTTACGTCTTTGTTAAGCTCATATTCAATAAAAACACAAACAAAGAAACTACCAAATAGCTCTATGGAGGTGTTCTTAGAACTTGTTTTAAGAAGTACGAAGTACTTAATGTAAAGTTAAAGTAAAGTTTTTCAGAAGAAGCAAAAGGTAGCAAATCAAAAGGAAATGACTATATATTTCCAATTGTTGATGATGAAATTGGCATACAGTTAACAGATGTTATTTCATATGTGCAACCATCCAAAGTCAACAGAGGTTATACTTTTCCTTATGAACTAAAACACTGATTTTAACAGACCAAATAACATTGTGGTTTCTTTTAATGTTTTTTTTTTAAATAATAAAGCTTTTTTCTTGTCAATAGTAGTTCTTTTTTGTTACATATGGCAACAATAATTAACCACTATTGACAACTGTTCTTGTCAATAGTGCTTCTTTATTGTTACATAGGTTTTAGTTACGCAAGCACTCTTTAACTAAAGCCAATCATTGATTTTTAATAGATGGCTTTTGTTACTCCTTTTTCCAGGGTAACTAACCCACCATGTTTTTATTTAAAAATATATATATATTTCTGCATATATATATAAACCATATTTAGAAGACTTTCTAGGTGTGGGGGGGGGGGGGGCTGGAATCCTCATAGCCTGCCAAATTCATTTTAGGCAGCTATTCATAGCTCGTGCACTCAATTTGTATACATATATATGTATGTATGTATAAATATAATTTAAAGATTCAATTGATACACAGATTTTAAAATTACCAAATAATTACATTTTATTACTTAGATCAACCAAAAAGAGCTTCGAATAAATTTGGCAAGGTATGTATTAATTATACTAAGAATAAAAAATCTTTAATTTCATATATTGTGTAAGCTTTACAGTTTTTCAATAAAATTGAATAAAAGTTTTTATACTTTAAAACTAAAGAAGAAAAAAAGTGGAAAAATGTAATATATATAAATATATATATATATATATATATATATATATATATATATATATATATATATATATATATATATATATATATATATATATATATATACATATATATATATATATATATACATAGATATGTATACATATATATGTATATATATATATATATATATATATATATATTTATATATATATATATATATATATATATATATATATATATTTATATATATATATATATATGCAGGGGCTATTCTAGACCGTTTTTGACAGCGTCAACCGTATTTGGGTGTCGATTTGGGCGCTGCCCAAATTCAGAAATTGAGGACTTTTTTTTTAATACCAAATAACTTTTTTTTTTTCTTTTTTTTTTTTTGTGAAAAAATGCCTACAGTTGAATACTAATAGTTATAAAAGCAAAAGCAAAAAACAAAAAGTTAATAATAACAGTTACCAACAGTTAATAATAATTAAAAATTAAATATTAAATTATAATATTAAAAATAATTAATAATAATAAATCTTGTATTCTATTATTAAATTTTTTGATATTATTGAGTGTGTGTGTGTGTGTGTGTACAAAAAATTAATATATAAAGTTTTTTTTTAATTTACACATTATTACATTAATTTACACGTTTGTGTAAATAATCATTAATAATTATTTTTTATGGTTTTATTTAAAGCCTTTGCAAAAAATAAAAACAAGAGAAAAAAAAAAAAAAAAAGAAAGAAAAGATCAGCGATTAAAAGTTAACGTAACGCTTTTTTTTATTGCATTTAAATTGTTAAAATATCAAAATAGACGTGGTCAAGTTGTAAAGAAAAAAAATTATTAGCTTGGTCAGTTACAGAGTACAATCGCACGCCATTCCTGTCCAAGCCTGGAACACAAAAGCTGCATGAAAATAATTTTTGGCATTAGAAAAAGAATTGTTTGACTTTATGAAATAATTGAATAAGATAGAATTCGATCAAAAGATGCAAAAGAATGCGATATTTTATTTTATGAGGATCAAAAAACTGAAAGAACAATGATAATTGACAAAATAGACAAAAAATATCAAAAAGTTTATTCCAACAGAGAGTTTCGCAAAAGGAAAGCCAAGGAGATTGAGCAAAAAAAGGAATCTGCCACAAAAAATTAAAAGTCAAAACAATTTTCATTAAATAGCAATTGTATTAATGAAAAAGAGTTATTTTTGTTAGAAAATTTTAATAATAAAGAATTTCAATATAATAACTATGATGAAATTGAAAAACAATCAACTAACATAAAACAAAATAAAGTGACAGTAACAGTTACTTTATTTTGTTTTATGATGAATATTGTAATATTGATGAACTTATTCAAAAAACTTATTAAAAAACAACATTTTGTGGAATTTCTGATGGAGTACAGACAGGGTTATTAGCAATATTTTTAAGATGTGGAAATATTAATCTTAATGAAGCAAAACTTTCAAAGACAAAAATAGAAAAATAAGAAAGATTTATATGTAAGTGAATCAGAATTAAGGAAAAAATAAAAGAAAAATGTAAAAATAGTAATTTAATTTTGCACATTGATACAAAAAAAGTAACGGCTTTAAATGAAGACTATATTTCTGAAGTAAATTAAAGTCTAGCTATTGTTGTTACAATTCCAGACTGCAATTTAAATACAAATGGAAAACAACAAGATGAGCTGCTAGCCTCGTCCTGTTGTTTTCCTATTTTTATTGCTAGTTTATTTTCCTATTTAGTTACTAGCTAGTTGAATGTCAATTGAGGAAAAGATATGATCAAGCATTGGCATTTTATAAAAAAGTTTGGAATTAAAAGCTAAGTTAGTTGAAATTTGTGCTGAAACAACAGCATGTAACACTGGTTGTAATAAGGGTTATATAAGCATTTTAGAACTTTTAAATCGATCTCTGTTAACACAGAGATTTTCTTTGTAGAAAACAAACAGAGCGACATATTTTACATGCATTAAATGCAATCACTATAACAGAAAGTTTTCTTGTATAAATAGATCATAATCTATTTATACAAGATTCAAAGCTGCTTGGCCAATGCATTATGAAAATGTTCAAAAAAATCTGGATCAGTTATCAAAATTTCCATGGTGCGAAGTGAGTGGAACTCCATTAGAAGATATGGCTAAAAAAGTTTATCTTTTTGCAAAAAAGCTTTGGAACTTCATACTTTTCCCAGAAATGATTATAAACATCTGTGTTGATATGTCATTGTTTTTCTGGAAGGAAGGGAGTCAGTTCCTGAATTTATTATACATAAACCAGCTGCTGAACATGAAGCTAGATTTATGGCAGATGCTTTACACATTTTGGCAATAAAGCTTACTCAACCAATCATAAAGTTTTTAACCCTAGAGGAAGAAACAGTATTTTCAAAGGCGATATATGTAGCTTCAGTTCATACAAAAAACTTACTTCAATCAAGTCAAATTGTTTCTGCTGCTTATAATGATTTGTATACAATTTAATAGATGATAAAAATGAAAAATTTTGATGCTGATGTTCCTCAAGCTTTTATTTCAAGCTATCTTATACAGTTATTATTTTTCTGAAGAAACAATTGTCATAGATACAGTTGTCTTTTGTTTAATTGATAAAAGTCTTGACAACTAAGTTAAAGTTGCTCAGCAGTTGTTAAAAACAAATTTACATGAAATCTTTAAACTTGAAAAGTTTAAGCCTGTAGAAATAAATGAACATTCAGAACTTAATGATTACATTGGTCAAAATTCTTGGCTAATATTTAAAATAGTTCCTTACTTATCAAAGTGGTTAGAAAGTCCACCTGATTTGTGGGCTATTTTATTTTTATTTTTATTTTATTTTTATTATATTTGTTAATTGGTAGTATTAAAAATGCACAAACTTGTTGTAAAATTAGAAAAATGTGACTTTCAAACGCAATAAAATGTTTTAGATGCTTTTGATCTGGGACCCATTTTAAAAACTAGTTATTTAAAAGGGGCTTGTGCATTATTCTTATTACCCTGTCGCCATCATGTCAGAAAACTTTATATAGCTGTAGCCATAAATAAAATTGTTAGGCTGAAGAATTGACTATTTAAATCTCTGAAGCAGAGCTGTGTTGATGCAATCAATGCGGCGGTACTGTTGACATTTAATCACCAGAGTGTTAAGGACACCTGGTTGAGAAGCAGGCTATGTTGGGGCTCAAGACATGCAGGAACTTGATAGGCTATAAAAAGTTATCTAAGAAATAGTAAGGAAAAAGATAAATTTCTATTTCTTTAAAATACCTTTATGCAAAAACAAAATATATAATTTTTTAATTAAATTTTCAAATTATTTACATTTAGACTTTTGCGATTATTTTGAACTTTTTGAGCTTGTAGTTATGTTTTTCTAAGTCCATTTGGTGAAAATTACACTTTCATAAGTTTTAATATTTTAATCTGATTATTTAAGAATAGTATATTTATAAAAAATACAATAAAATTGTTTTAAAACAAAGGATTCTATAAAGGTTTTAAATTTAGATGTAAAAAAACAAAAAGAATTTCTCTTAATTGATTCTTTTTTCCACTGATCAACTTTTCCTTAAATCAGTAGTAATATAGTAAGTGGTATCAATAGAAATAGCACTTTGATTATATATTTGGTCATAGTTTGAAAAAATGCATACAGATGAGACTCCCTCAGACGTTTTAGATACAATTAGTTTCTAAGCTTGTAAAATCTTTCAAATTTGTTAACAGTTCATCAGGACTCATAGCAAAATTATAAATCCTTTGAGCATTGTTTAAGAAATTTATTACTCAAAAATAGAAATAAATTTCTTGTTTTAGAAAATAAATTGATGGGTAGGAAATATGTTTCTTGTTTTAGAATATAAGTTGCTGGGTAGGTAATATGTTTCTTAAAACAATAAATATATTTCTGTGTTTTGAGAAATAAGTAGCAGGGTGGGATATTTATTTCTTATAACAAAAAAACATATTTCTTGTTTTAAAAAAAATATTTCTTAACAAAAAGTTCCATTTTGATTACAGTAAAATTTATTCAAGATAATGAGTCAAGAAAAGCTTTAGAACCTACTCCAAATAATGTGTTCTTGTAAAGAACCATAAAAAAAAGGAGCAGATACAAGGAACTAGCTACAGCGACTGCTCCCTCATTATTAGCTATTACTGCTCCCTCACTATTGGTTTTGAGTTAATAACTCAAAACACTTTAAATAGTTCTAATAATTTAAATTTTGATCCAACTGTAAACTTAAAAATACGTAAAATTATTTTGTTACAAAATTTCTTGAAATATTTGTCTTTAAGCTGAATATATATATATATATATATATATATATATATATATATATATAAAAACAAGGCTCAATTTAATTTTTTATCACTGACAAAATGTCCAATCAAAACTTGCTTGGGGCAGACAATGTCTGATCAAATTTTCAAAACATAATTTTTATGGTTTTATTGAACCGAATTATGCAATCAAAATCTTTATTATGTTGTTCAGTTTATTTAACTAGTCTAGTGAAGTTGTAGTTTCTTTCCTTACTATTTAGAATAATTCATCGTAGATTTTTGTTTTTTAATAAAATATTTTTCATTTAATATTGTATATTTTTTTAAATAAACTTAAAATTTCACGCTGTAACTGACAGCGCCTATTATTTTTTTCATTACGATTTAATAACAGCTGTTTTGATGTTTTAATAATTTATATGAAATTAAAAAAATCTAAGATACAAATAACTTTTAATCATTGATTTTTTTAAATTTTTTTAAATTTTACGTGAAGGCTTTAAATATAGTAAAATCAAAAATTAATTATAATGATCGTTTAAAAATAAACGCATTATGTGTAAATTAAATGTTATATTTAAA